CCCCCCCCCCCCCCCTTCCCCATAAATGCAAAAACTCAATAATCATAATACCTGGACAGTAATGCCATCTGATGAATATTCATAAGCCAATGCTCTTGAAAAGTGATCAACAAATGCCTAAAAATAAATAATGGAAACATTAAGTTTTAGGATTTTGTTTGATGCAAATGAACAACCAAATCCCTAGGGGTTGCGTTACCCTATTTAAGGATCTACATATCCAATCCATAGTCTGTCATTATATACCTTAGTTGCGGCATATACTGTCATCTGAGGTGTGGGTTGCTGGGCTGCACTGGATGACATGTTGATTATCGCTCCTCTTTTTCTTTATAAAGAAACAAAAGCAATAGTCCCCTTTACAGTTCCCTGCGCCATCCTGAAAGGTAGCCGTGCCTTTGCATCGAAGTGAGACAAACGGTGAGCTTGCAATGATAGGGACATGTGAATAATTGTCTAAGGTGTTAAAAAAGGTCTCTATCATCACAAGCTCACCGTTCGTCTCGCTTTGATGCAAAGGCACGGCTACCTTTCAAGATGGCGCAGGGAACTGTGAAAGGGACTATTATAAATATGTTACTAGATGAAGCAAGGAAGCTAAACAAATCTAACGATCTACGATACCACTTCTTTCAGAATCTATTATTATTGTCCTTTTTGTTCGCCTATTATCTTTTATGTTGTTACTCTAAAAGTTTAGTTAAAATCTATTCTTGAATAAGAAAAATAATTTGAAAAAGGTAAATAAAGAGAACAGAAAACACTATAAAGTAATTAATTTTTCTCTACTTTCACAAACAATGAGGAACTTTGAATTCATAAAATGTTGATGTATTTTGCATTACTTTTTGTAATGCCAAGTAGTACCTTTTCACCATTTGAGGCAAAACGACACAAGTCATCTATTCAAAGAAAAACAATACRTCAAAAGACTGTAAGTATTTGAGAGTTGTTCAAACTTACAGGTCAACCCACAAAAGAATGATCACACTTAATGTATTCTCATACTTCTATGCACAGGTTCTTTACCTTAAACCAATGCATTTCAATGCCAAGCTGTCTAGTTTTACCAAATAAGGCATGCAAATGCTCATTTGGCAGCAAAAAAATGTGCAAAGAAGTATGGGAATAAATCATATGTGGTCATACTTCTGCGCATCGTACTGTAATGCAAAAATTGCACTCAGGGCACTAGAGAATCCTCTTAATCATGCACCTAAGTTGCACATGCTGTACCAATGCCTGAAAAGGACTGATAATAAATTGAGACAACCATTATTGGAATACATTAAAATTGGCCTTTATAAATGCATCTACAAAACAAACGAAAAATGATGACAAAAACATTGACAACAGAGTAAAAGTAAATCAAAAAGTTATCACTATACCATGGTAGTTGCAGCCATGTTGATGTTGAACAACTCCCACAAACGCTATAAAAACAACCATAAACAGCAACCTAAGATAAGAGTTTCTGTAACTAGCACAGTAATCCAGTTTCAAATTCTCTGAACTGGTTAGCAATTGTGAAGAAAATTGGTGGTACCAATGCCCAGGCTGCAATGGAACTCCAAAGTGTYTGAATTGTTAATTAAAAGTAGTGCATTCTTTATTTCACCATTGGTATTTAAATAAATATTATGCAAGGGCGGATCCAGGGGGAGGGTCGGGGGGTCACGACCCCCCTGTCATTCCTGAGGTCAAATGGGCTTCTTGTGGTAAAAATGCGACTGGGATTCCTTTGCCCACAAAATTTACCCCTGAGACCCCCCTTCAAAAAAACCCTGGATCCGCCGTTGTTATGCTAACCCTAAGAAATGAGTCTGTTATAATCAAAGAACACAGTCATAATTTAGAAACTGGAAAGATGTTTTCTTTTCATACCTTTTCTGGGACATCTAACAGCAACTGAGGATAGTCGTACATGACACCAACATTGTTTACTGAGAGAAATAAGAATGGTAAACTAAGAATAAGAAGTCAGACTATGCTGTTCATTTAATCCATCAGTAATTATCCATACATCCCATTCTTTCCATTTCCCTTCCTTTTGCTCCCACTTTCCTGTTATTATAATTTCATTCTGGCATTAGTTACATGGCATCAACTGTTCATGCAATAAAATTGTGAAAAATTGTTGTTTCAAATTGTCTCATGTGCTGTCACCTTCACTATCTTAAATTTTCATTAGCCATAAGTAAAATCACTATAATTGAAAACGTTCTTATGTGCTCAGTCCCCTCTTGGTTTATACCAATAAAATAAACCCAAAGGAAGCCAGAGGAAGCCAAAGGAATAAGGAGTTGCCTGTGGAGTAGGCTAGGTAAAAGGAGTATTTCGTCATTTTTATTCTGGGATTATAATGACTATCTTAATATTTCTAATATACCTAATATTCCAATATCAAACTGCTCCAATTCCCTTGCAATTCCTCTATATATGTCTTGTCGGCTGAAGTCAGTTGTTGACACATATGTCARGACTTGAAACTCTGTTTCTAAAATGTCAATAAAAGGATATTCCATTAGTAATATAATTACAGTCAAACTGCTATCGCCTGGCGAAATTCAAAGGGATGTGGTTGATTATTGTTAATTTGAGTTTTTCAAAGTCATTATATTAAAAGCTGAAGATACTACCAGAAATTCAAAGGATAGCTTACCAATCTCTTTTGCAATCTTCTCAAGTTTTGGGGTGGTTCTGCTTATGAGTATAATGTTCATCCCATATTTTGCAAGCTGAAATAGAATATGTTTTTATTGATTTGAACAAATTCATTTCTCTTTCCCTCTCCTTATCAATCATCACTCTAAATTTATAATTAAAACTTGAAAGAAAAAATGAAGAAATCCAGCTACCCCCTTCCCTGCCCCGYCCCAACATTCATAAGAAAGAACCAGCCACTTCCCAGCCCCCTTCCCTCCCTAGAGATACTTTTTAACATCCAGTCTGTTACTAAAACATTTTACCTCTCTGGCAAAGGCCTTTCCTATTCCATCAGAAGCACCAGTAACAACTGAAAAGACAGATTTTAATTTTAATTTCTACTTTTTTTCAAAACTTCTATTTCATTACTGGTTTTGTACTATCTTTCTACCTATAGATGYACCCATTCATGAATATGCATCAATTCAATCATCCACTTCAAACATTTATCCCTTTATCCATTCATCCATCTATCCCCCCATCCAACTAATCATTTATTTATCCATCTACCTATTCATCTAACCACCCACTCAGCATTAATTTATTCATTAACCCTTAAACATATCCATTCATCTATCTATCAATTCATTTAATTGTTCATCCATCTACCTATTCACCCACCAACCATCCACCCATCCATCCACCCACTAACCCATCCATCCATATATCCATCCATCCATTCATTCATCCATTAATTTATTCATCCATCTATTTAACTATTCAACTATCTGTTTAACCATTTATCCACCCATTTATTTATCCATGCATCCATCCATGCATCATATCGATCCATCAATCCATCCATCCATCCATGCCTCCCTCCCTCCCTCCCTCCCTCCATCCATTCATTCATATATCTACTCCCTCATACATTAATAAGAAATATTTACATATCTTAAGTTGTCAAGGGATTCATGGGTTATTTCCTGTGTAATATAATTTATGCTGCTCTTTTGGTCATATCTATTGTGTTAYATAGATTGTAAAGCTGGTATTGTTTTTTGGTATTGTGTTGTCAGCTGTGCTGTATAAATTATAAGCTTGTTACACCAGAGATAAGCCAGATGAACAGTGGGTGCTATGGGACCAAAGGTTTACAATTTTTCACAAAAGAAAGTTATGCGAATTAGCTAAACATCAGCAATGCAATATATTACCAGCCCATTTGCCACCATACTTGGTAGACAAATCCTTTACGACTAACAATCTCGTAAATACGTAGACTCTCAATCCACTAAGCAAGGACAAGCAAACGGACAAGGAGATCTTTGCAGCCCAAGCAAAACCTGCAAACAAATCATGAAAAATATTGAATGAAAAAGTCTCCGCAAAAAGAGGTAAAATTCATTAAAAAATCTTCATACCTAAAACTGCCAACAGATTTCGATAGCCACCGAAAAATGCGCTAAATTTATCAAAGGTTTCCCAAAGCTGCAACTTGTCCGCCATTTTGCTTTGTGTCAGTGAACCGGAAGTAAAATTCMCTCAAGTCATCTGACCGGAAATAAACCTACACAATGTTTATTGATGCATCTGTCATTTGATCTGGTTTCGGTTAAGTTGGAATGCGATATTTTAAGGTTTCAAAGCCAAAACTTATCTAGACCTACCTCATTTCCGTTGAGGTCACTGCAGTTTCGTCTGTGGAAGGATTGTGAATCATTCGAAGGGCATAAGGAGGAGATTTTTTGGGCGAAAAACGTAAATCAGAGAGCAGAAAAGTTTGGTTTTACAGCTACGTACAACTGTCATGGCAGCTGAGCCTCTTGTTAAACAAGACGAACTGGCCGATGTCCTTCGCGAATGGGATGATGAAGAAGACGAAGTTGTTGAGTTTATACAGCACTCTAGGCCGGATTCAAGAGGTACACGTCAGAGAAATGAGAACGGCTCTCCGCTGCAAGATGTCGATATTTCTGACGGTAATGGGACAAAGCCTCCTCGAGAAAGATCTACCCTCACAGGAAAGCCTTTTTATGCACCATACGTACGATTCTTTAAGGCAGCCTGTTTATTTCTTTCATTTTTGGGCCTGGTAAGATATATTTTTATTGCATACAATAACTTCTAATGTACCAAATTTAACTTCACAAGTTTACAGTGTGTGAGAATGATTTARAATTTTTGTGTGCTAGGAGTTCAGTAAAGTCTTCAACAAAAAAGAGGTTTTTATAACGTTTTTTTAACACCCGCTAAAATATTTAATTGTCAAGTTAGGACGGGTTGTAAAATGAGCTTTCTAGTAATGGTATGCATGATGGCCGGAGGGACTGCCACGTTGCTTCAGCTTAACGTGTTGTGTGACTGCACACGTGGAAAAATCAACCATTTTTAATTAATAAATTGATAAATACAACGGTTAATCAATCAATATATATATATAAGTATCAAATTATAAATAATTAAGAGACCAAAGATATTAGCATAGGAAATCGCACGATCTCGAGTA